GGGAACTGAACTGTCACGACGGATCAGAGAACCCACATGCAGACGAGGAATGAACACGGACTGGTTCCAATATCCATCCATCCGTCCATTATCTGTACACCTTAATCCTCACTAGGGACGCGGGGGGCTGGAGTCTATCCCAGCTGACTCAGGGTGAAGGCTCACCTGGACAGGTCACCAGTCTATCACAGGGCTACACTTAGAGACAGACAACCAAGCACACTCACATTCACACCTACAGACAATTTGGAATCACCAATTAACCTCAACATGTTTTTTGGACTGTGTGGGAGGAAGTCAGAGAATCCAGAGAGAATTCACGCTGTATGGGGAGAACATGTAAACTCTACGCAGAAAGATCCCTAACCATCCTAACTGGGATGTGAACCGGGGATCTTCCAGCTGCAAGGCGACGGTGATAACCACCGAGCCACTTTGCAGCCCCCTGGTTCCAACAAACAGGGATTTTATTGTAAAGTAGAAAACTCAATAAAACAAACAGGGAAGGATAACTAAGGAAGAGGGGACACAGAACTCAGACTGACCTCACCAAAACCTACACAGCTACAGCTACATAACCTAAACGAACTACACAACTGAATGGAGGACTGCAAAACTCATTGGAAGTCTGTAAACTACACTAAGGCCAAACTGAACAGGGTGACTGACAGGGACAGTGGATTTGCTAAATACGAGGCAGGCTATGGGGGACTGGGGTCTGGTGAGATGAGCCAAATCTGCGGAGGCAGGACAGTACGGAACGGGGCCAGAGGTGGGTGCAGGCAAGGCACAGAGCGATCCAGGGTGGCCTGCGTAGGACGCCGGTGTGCAGCAGAATGTAGAACAGTTGGCTGGGCAGCAACCCGAGGAGGGCAGGCAGGAGGCAAGGCAAGGGACTGGTCTGAGAATGAGTGATCAGTGTCTCTGGTCTGGCGAAGAGTTGGGAAATAAGCCGCATCTTCGTGGATTGGGCGAAAATTACAAATTAGCTGAACTCACGCTGCACACACCCCAGAGCAGAGAGAGAGAGAGAGAGAGAGAGAGGATGTCAGGGATGAAAGTCCCTGATAAGAGTTGGGTGTATAATCTGCCGGCATTCAACACAGCAGCACTTCTCCGGGCCGTATCCCTCCTAGTCAGGTACTGGAGTCTTCAATGCCAACGGCGCATATCCAACAACCACTGAATTGTGTAGACCGACTGGCCATCCACCATCCTGGGCGGAGGAGAGGGAGGCACGGGGGGGCCAGAGTACTGTCCTTGACAGGTTTAACTTGAGGCCAGTAAAATGTTTCTGGTACCACGACAATAGGACAGAGAGAAATTAAAACAACTAAAAAACAGAGCCCACTTGGCTTGTCACAAGTTTAGTTTTAATCATAATAAAGAAACGTGTGGCTCAAAGTTGTTCTTTTTGTAATTGTTAAGGTTCAGGTATCAGGTGGTCATTTTCTGTGAATCTGTTAGATGTTACATGAGACCTGTGAAACATTATACTGCTGGATAACTGGTTTTTGTCATCATATTCCAACCCTGCCACCCAAAAATTATGTTCCTATCCAGCTGGACTCAGAAACATTTTCTCACCAGAAGCAGCCGAATAATAGAGAAGGCTTTCACTTCGAAGGAGCCCAAGTCTGTGCAGAAAGGCAGACGGGGAAGATTATGACATCAGTCAGTGGTTACTGTTTTAATGTTTAATAGCTGAGTCTGATTATTGGGAGTTAAAATTACAGATATCAAAAAAGCCTTTTTTTTTTTTTTACATTTTCTGACCAGTCATAACCACAGTCAGTGACTACAGTTTTGACAAGGCAGAATAAGAGCTGCACATATTTCAAACGTCATTACAACTTGTCCAAACTGTTGTAAAAGGCGCTGCTTATGCATGGTAGAGTGGCTATTTGCAACTGAATTGTAGGTATCTGTAATGAATGATAAAAGTGAAGTCACCTGTCCTAGAAGAATGACAATCTTAAATTACAATTATGGATATCTTTTGACTTGGTAGAATTGAATTTTTGATATCTACAATACATGTCTAGTCTAGAAACAACATGCCAGCAGCAGTGGACTGATTATTCTCAGTTATAAGTTTCTTTTTCACTCCTCGGTTACTTTTAATTTTTACTTGCTGTTTTGTTAAGTTAGGCACAAAAAAAACTCTGACAGGTTTAGGGCAATATCATGCTTTGTTTGGTTTAAAAATATTACCTTTTCACGATATGTTTGAAGTCCATTTTCTTGGTTACCAGGGCGATGAGTCTCCCTCCATCTAATCCCTCATCTAAGCTATGCTACTTGAATCGTAATTGAAAGAAAATTAGTTCAAAATGTTTTTAGGACTATATTTCTCTGGAATAAGAACATTTTTAGGAAACAGGGCTGCACACTTCATTAACATAAACAAAGGCCAGTGTCCACTTGTGTTTGCTACTGCTGCACCTCTAAGCATGACTGAACAACACGTTCTCACTCCTTACTCGTCATACATCGATGCTTGGTCAGGCTCCCTCTGCGTCACATATTCACACATTGGGTACCCTTCTCTCGTCATTAACTGACTTCCAGGGAATAGCATACAACATGTGCTGTGATCCTTTCACAGCTGATGTATTTGTACATTTTTAACCTTTTCGTTCATTGGACTTCAGCTTTAACATATCTTGTCCTGCTTCTCTGAATACACGCAGTGATTTTACCATCCAGGTTGGATCGCTGAGCTCTTTCTTTATTTGCATTCATATAAAAAAGACCATTCATGAAGGCATACAAACATATTATTCATTTATTAGCATAAAGGCATCTAGTCTACTGGATGCTTCGTTTAGTTTTTGTTTTTTTATATCAAATCAGCATCACTGAGATCTTCATACTGCACCCACCCGATCCGGTCGTTATCACTCGATTGAATGGGCATCATCAGTTATGATAATAACTGAATCATATGTTTGTATGCCTTTATGAATGGTATTTTTTATATGAATGCATATAAAGAAAGAGCTTGGCGAATCTCCATCATCATTATTCCCTTTCATGAGCCCTGGTAGTTAGAGGGGCATCAGCTGCACTCCTTTCTGCCTTTAATGCTTGAAATGCTTGAACATACAGATATACAGAAGAAATCTGAGGAAATCCCAAAAATTGTAACTCCTGTATTATGTATAATATAAACAAACTTAAGCCTGAATCAACCTACATTCAGTCTTTTTGCCAGGACAATGTCACAAAGGCTTAGTTTCAGTATCCTGCAGTCATAGTGGTATGAGAATACAGCAGGTATTAAAGCTATTCTTATACTTACTTTTAATACATTGGCAAACTGGAGAATGGGGTTTGATTGCTTAAGACCAGATTAAATTCTGTGTCAAAGGTAAAGGCAACTTTGCAGGATACAGCCTCCTAATTTCATGTTCTACGTGTCAGAATTTGCTCATGGTTGGCTTCCCTGAAAACAAAAAGTGCAGAAAAGTAGGCAAGTTGTGGCCGAGCTGGTTAGGAGGCTGTTAAAGACTCTTGGTTTGTACTGGGACTGGAACCCACACTGGACAAATGCTCCTCACCAATAGTTGTATGTATTCACTGCCACTTTAAGAAGGAAAATGGACTTCAATGGCATAAACAGCATTGTCATATCTTTTTCTTGAGGGGTTAATGTCTCAATTACCCAATTTCAATCAAGATTTAAACTGAGGTGTTAAATGTAGCTTCCATATCATTAGGTCTTTAAGATATTGGTGGTTGAGGTTTAAACAGAGAACACAGAGCACATATCTCTGCTAAAAAGCAGCACCCTTTAATTTATTTTCTGAGTAATAAAAAATCATTTGCAGGGCTCCAGACTAATTTTTTCACTGTTAGCACCTGTGCGATCAGCTTTCTCAATTGGTCGCACCTCCCACCTTGTCACAGGCAAAACATATGACTTGCTGAACATTCAAAATCATCAATAAATTCTACAATTTACAGATGTTCCCTTAACGCCTCACATTGCAGGCTGTGGTAGCTGCTATTGGTACCTGTGTTGTGCTCAGACAGGTGTGTGACCAAAAAGAGTAAACTAGGGCTTTCTAATGTCAGACTTGTCCAAGATGAAACACAGTGATTTTTTATTTTATTTTTTATTTTTTACATGTGCTCATTTCTATGAGTGGAAAAAACTGTGAATGCAGGTGTGCTCCGTTTTTCACGAGAAGACCGCATTTTTAAGTATAAATACCAAAGTACACCAAAGTTATAAAAGTACTGCTTTCCACCACTGTGGTTAACACAGTAGCTGCCGGTTACAGCGACATAAATACAGCTTAATGATCATCATGCACTCGCACCAATGCAGCCGCTTGAAATTTTAACAGCAATATAATGAAATGTGAGGAGCCGTTTTGGACACCGTTGGTTCTGGAAGTAAAATCCCATTCATTTTCCCCTGTAGAAATTGTTTAGTGATTCACATTCGTTGCATATCTTTGGCTTGGATTGACATGAGACTCTCCCAGTTAAGTCATCAGTTCAAATGAACAACTTTGTTATAAAATACCTGGTTCTTTTAAAAATAGTCACAGCTACAAGTTTTTGAAATTTTCTGGAAGAAATTTCCTACCACTCTCATTACAATGACATCTATGTCATCACAATGAAGCTAAAATGTGTATTGAAATTATTGTTATTTCATTTCAGTAGCACATGAGAGTCATGGCTATTGGACAACCAACAAAGCTGAAATAATTCAAACAGGTGGCCCCCCAAAAAAAGCATATAGAAACTGTTGCGTTATCTGGAAGGGTCCTTTGTTTTTTGGACAGCAATATTAACGACACTGTTTAATATAATATTGAAAAGGGATTACAGAATGGGGAAAAAAAACCTCCAGTACCAGTGGCTCCTCTCATTTCACAACTCTAAGAATGTTTTGAAATTTCTGTATTCTGTCTTGTAGTGTCAAGAAATCCCTTAAAAAATCCCTGGATTAATACGGTTTTTCATTTTTTGATGATTCACAGATTTGGATGAATGCCAGCAGGGTGCGTGTCCCAATGGAAACTGTCTGAACACGGTTGGCAGTTACAGGTGCATGTGTAAACCTGGCTACGTACCCGACCCCACGCTCACCAAGTGCATATGTAAGTTCTACAATCACACACTTTCTGTCACAGCCTCTGTCATCCCTTTCTCATTTATCGTCATCCAAACTCAGAACATCCAACAGTGCCGTGTCAGACTGAGCAGGAACATGATATTACATTTGCATGGCTGTCTCTGACATGCAGATCTTTCCTGAGTTTGATATTTCCTATCACCTTATGACAGAAGACATGGGAAATATATGTTTCATTATTTCCCCTGCTACATGCTACTAAAATGTGTTTGATGATACGCATATTTGAATACAGTGCATGGACGACAGCATGTTGTTTATTGTGTGATCAGATTGCCTCAAGCATGTACTGCAAGGAACATAAAGTTAAATCCAATATATTTCTTGCCTCGCATCTTGAAGGAGCAGAGTGAGAGGGTGAAAGCAAACAGGGAAGTTGTAGATAGACAAACAACTAGCTAGCCATGAGTACTAAAATAATAAATCTTGGACATTATTAATCAGTTGTGCCTTATGACATGTCACATCATGTATCCTTCTGTTTTTATAGTGTTGTGAAAGCTAAAGTGTTAATTTGTTTGAGATAAGTCATTGATTCTGTTTTGTCGTGTGGCTAATGAAAGCCAAGTTGCCATTCATTACTACCACTGATTAATCCAAGGGCAGGGGAGACTTTATTTGTTATTGTAAGCACTGACTTCCAGCAGCTGTGAGAACCCACACTCCAAGCACATAGTTCATCTGTTGCTAAAATCGCCCCAAATGATTCATGTGTACCCTCTATACTGTATCTTTCTACTTATTTTGAGCAGATTTTGCTGAAAGGGAATTACAGTTGAACTTAACACACAACAAATTTGATCCTAGTCTGTTGTCTAGCTGACTCGGTGGTTTTGTTGATCCTGTATTTTCTACCACTTATCTGGGGCCTGGTTGAGATGAAAGCAGTTCAATGGCTCACTGAGACCCACATTTAAAATGGCAACTATTTGGCAAAATCTCTTATTTTTAGTGGAACTGCTGTGATCAGTTCATTTTTGGAAACCAAGTTAGTCCATGCAAGTATTTTGCTGCTGGTCCAGCTTTCATTAACTTTGTCATGTGAATTTGTGTTGTTGTTCGACAGCAAGCACATGAAAATAATGCTAAGCCAAGTAGCCTTGGATTTTCTAACTGCTAAAAAGTCAAGAAGGCGCCAGATAATAGCAAAAATTCCCATCCTTCACAGCAGTCCTTGTGGCACCAAATTTTCATGACAAAAATAGAAGGAATAATTTGTCAAGCTTTGACTTTTAGCGTGCTCAGGGGCAGTTTGCAGCTGAATGTGAGGCTGCAGGGATGGGAATCACCGCCTCTAAGCCTGAGTCCTTGGTTTTCTGCTGGAAAACGATGAAGTGCTCCTTCCGGGTTGGAGATGAGTTTCTCTCCTATGTGAAGGAATTTCTGGGAATCTTGTTCATGAGTTCAGCAAAATGGAGCATGAGATGGAAAGGGTTGATGCAGCATCAGCAGTAATGCGAGTGTTGTACCTGACCCATTGTGTTGAATCAAGAGCTGAGCCGTATTTTAATTCTCAACATTAGGCTAAATGTAGAGACCAAAAGAATGATAATGTGGATACAAGCGGCTACAATGGGTTCCCTCCATAGGGTGGCTTAGATCAGCTTTAGAGATAGGGTGAGGAGGCTGCACATCCAGAGGGAGCTCGGAGTAGAGTCACTGAGATGGTTAGACCATCTGATTGTGATGCCTCCTGGATGTCTTCCTTTGGTTTGGGATTTTTTCCGAGCACATCCAACTGAGAGGAGACCGCCGGGTGGACCCAGAACTTTGCCTGAGGGTTTCCAAATGTTATCTGGCCTGGTATCACCTTGGGTTACATCAGGAAGAACTGGAAAAGTTAGCTTGGGAGAGTGACATCTGGAACACCCTTATTGGTTTGCTGCAGAATGTACGAAATATAGGTCATGGCAGGGGTTTGGCCACTGATCTGCGATGTTCTGGTACTACTTGCAAACAAACCCAGCTGGTCTGAGCTAAGAGTGTCTCCTTCCTCTGACAAAACTTGTGTCTGGCACTAAAATGATGGCTGACAATATGTGTTGCTGTATTGCTGATGAGAGAAAGCACCATTTCTAGCGGTCATTGTGAAACTGCTGTAACACTATCTTTTTAACACTGCGTCCACAGTGACAATAAAGAACTATTCTATGCTATTCTATTCAAAAGTCAGTATCATCAAGGGTTGTAGCAGCATCTCTGTTGTTTGGAATTTTTTGGAACTTTTACATTCTCATTAGTGTTTTAAGATATGAACCTTTTATACACTGAACCAAATTAAAAACTTTCTACCAATAAAGAAATTAAAAGTTCTGGCCATCCTCACCAAGTGAAGGCTGGCTAAAATCACAACAGAGTTCGGAATGTTGTGCTGCAGCCACGTCTCTGTGAAGCACACGACAGAGTTCTCATGAAACATATTTGTGCTCTTTGTGAGGGATGTAAGCTCGTCCTTTTTATTCTCCAGGGACCTTACATTCCCTATTGCGATAAAAGGAAGACATGGTTAGTATCTCCGCTTCCTGCCCTATCACCTCATCCTGCCCTACAGCCCTGGTATCGCTTTCTTAGCTCCCCAGGGATTTAATGTCCCACGCTAGTGGCAGCACACTAGTGAAAGTTCTTCAGCTGGCCCATGGTGTAAACAATAGCATCCTGGGTCTCCATCGGCAGGACAGGAGTTAAACAGGAAAAATCTGGAATGACAAAGTGCTCTAAAAGTGACAAAAACATGAAACAAAGTCCGAAGCCACATTGTTCTACTGACAATAAATGCAGCTTGTAAAAATGAAAAAAACAAAAGGTAAAAAGGCACAAACCCACAAAGAGCACCTCTGGTTGACTGCCGCCCAGGACGCCTCTAGTAGTAATATCTATGATAGGTGACAGGAGTAGCTGTATGAAGAATTGATAACAGAGAGCAGCACAGTTCCTGTCTATGAAGCAAGCAAGTCACTGATATAAGACCATTGCCTGACTGTTGTCTTCAGAAAGTAACAAGTTGTGGGATGTAGCCCTACTCTATATTTAGACATTGGCAGAATTCAAGAGGGAGGGGTTGCTAAATCTTAACAAGTACATTGTCTGAAGCATACACGGGCCGTATGTTTGAGGTTATTCACTAGCTGGGGCTCGTCTTCTCACTTCTCTAACCTAAATCTTGATCAGACTTTGATACCTTCATTTTGAAAGACATACACGTTGCATGAAGCTGCAGACCATCATGCTGTTTCTTGGCAAACACAGTGCACGGCATTAAGACCAAAGAGCCTAATTTTTGTCTCATCAAACTACGGAAACGTTTTTCTCATGCTCTCAAAGTCCTTTGAGCAGCTTGGCAAACTCCAGGTTGGCCTACATCTGCCTTTTACTCAGGAGGAGCTCCATCCACTCTCTCAGAGTGCAGGGATAGTTTTCCTTCTGGCAGGTTGTCCCATTTCTGCAGACGAACCTTGCAGTGACTGCTGATTTCTTGGTCACCTTCCTAGCGAAGGCCCTCCTCGCCCATTTTCTCATTATAGCCAGATGGCCCACTGTAGGAAGGGTCCTAGTGGTTTCAGACTTCTTAAATTTCACAATAATGAAGTTTACTTTGCTCCTGGGAACTTTAAATGTTGAGGCTTCTTTTATTCCTTTCTCTAGCACTATGCCTTGACACAGTTCTTTTCTTAAGGGCTCCACCGAGTTCCTTTTACTGAACCTTTCTCAAGATTGTTATGGGAACGCTTCATTCCACTTTGATGGCCAACCATATTTGTTTATGCTGGAGCACACAAATTAGATGCTGAATCAAATGGAAAAGATGACAGGAATGTCCCTAAAACAAGACCCTTCAGGACGCTGGTGGACGTTGGCTGCACTCACTGCTTTCCTGGTTACTGAGGGAGGAAAAATTCTGTTGCAGTGGGGTACCTGCTGAATGCAGATTTGGAATATATATTTTTTTTTTAATAACTACTTTGTTGCTTTACTCAAAGCAGCTACAGACCCCCAAATCATCTGTGCAAACAATTGGGAGTATAGAGTCCATAGTACAGTTGTGTCACTACCACGCTAAGGAAGAAAACACAATCAACCCTAACATCAACACTATAACCCACTGCTGACAGACAGTTGGTCAGGATGGTCAAGAGTCAACCAAGAATCACCAAAAATTGTTCTGCAATTAATTAGAAGCTGCTGGAACACAGATATTAGTGTCCATAGTCAAGTTTGTTTTACATCACCATGGAGTGAGAGGCTGCTGTGCACGAAGGAAGCTGTTCCTCTAGAAACAACACTTTAAGGTTTGACTGAAGTTTGCTGCTGATCACGTGGACAACGAAAAGGCCTTCTGGAGGAAAGTTCTGTGGTCAGATGAAACAAATTTAGGATGTGAACAGACACAGATGCCAAAGAGCCACAAAACTTTCTAATTCAGTTCCCCAGAAGCGGTAAATCAGCTGGTCAGACCAACCGAAGCCTCAAATGGCAGCTTCAACCCAGGTCACAGAAAGGGGTAAATTAACTGATCGAAGCAGCTGTAGCTTCAAAGGGCAGCTAACAGAAGAAGGTCAGTCATGAAGAGAAAAAGACAACATTCACCCAACTGGATTATCAACCCCCAAAGTCCTAAGAGCCTGACCTAACACCCCTGGCTTGACCAGCCAAAGGGCCGTATGGAATGGACAGGAGGATCTTAATGTGTCTTTACTACCTTGTGTCATTTTAAGTGTTGTTAAATTTGAAAGTACATAATATCATGGTAAACACCCCAAAATCTTAATCACAGTTGGATAAGTCCTTCTTGATTTTATTAGCTTGTTACATAACCATGTGTCCTAGTACTATATTATCTTTGTAACTGTGCAAGATAAATAGCTCATGTTTAGACTCTTTGCGATTTTTAACAGACTTGACTCTGTATAATTACAAGTATATATAGTTCGAAAGTAACATTGTCACTTTTACAACAAAACTCCT